GCCATCTGCTTCTGACAGTTCTACACTGCATACACAGAGTCTCCGTGAGTAGGAAGTGACTGACAACAACTAACACCACCCACTGATATTTGGTCTTATGTTTATTCAACATCACCATCTTACTTTGAAGAAAAACCTCTTATTTTCAGGTACTATAAAATTACGTTATCCCAGTAATAGGGGAAACGTGATAAAGTTGAACTTGATTGAGGTAAACCAACCATGTTGTTGTATGAGAAAAAACTCTCAGAAATCTTAGTGCAGCAGCAACTCCCCAGCTTTATTTTCCCAGAATGGATTTATACTTTATAGTCCTAAGTTCTTGAGATGTATGAAGCAGAGACTGAGAACTGAGTATGAGCTGAATGACAGGACTGGGTTGACAGCACTCCAGTGTCCATCCCTTTCTGGCCTGTATTGTTGATGTGTGCTGTAAATCATGACACACAGAGATCCTATGTAACAGAGTAGACCTGCTCTGTGGGGTTTACTATGAGACAATCTTTATGAGAAAGAATCTCTAGTGGTGCAGTGGTTAAGCACTCAGCTACAAACCATAATGTCAGTGATTTTAATCCACCAGCTGCTCTGCAGAAGAAAGATATGGCTGCTTCTATAATGATGTAAAGCCTTGGAAACCCTGTAATGTGAATGATATACAGCCTTGGAAACCATCTAACTTACAGGGTTGCTATGAGATGGAATCAACTCCACAGCAAGAGGTTTGGAATCTTTATGGGAAAGATCTAGGTCTTTTCTTCATGGACTGGCTAGTGAGTTCAAATTGCTAACATTTTCAGTTAGCGGCAGAGCACTTAACCATTGTGCCACCAGGGCTCTAACTCGAGGAAACTGAAGAAAGTAGCTGCCACATTTCCAACAGTTAGAAAAAGAGCAGCCAAAATAAATAAATAAGCGCCTACAGTCAACAGAAGAAAAGAAATTATAAAGATTTGAGCAGAAATAAATGATACAGAAAATATAAAGACAATAGAACAAATGAACAAGACTAGAAGTTCGTTCTTTGAAATGATTAATAAAATTGACAAACCACTGGCAAATTTAACAAAGAAAAAGAAGGAGAATATGAAAGTAGCATGAATAAGAAATGCAAGAGGTGATGTCACAACAGAAATGAAAAGAATAATATCAGGAGACTATGAAGAAATGTAGGAGCTCTGGTAGCATAGTGCCTGAGGCACTTGACTGCTAACCAGAAGGCTGGTGGTTCAAACCCACCAGCCACCCCTCTGAAGGAAGGTTGGGCAATCTACTTCTGTAGTGATATCACCTCGGAAACCCAAGGAGGGGTCACTATGAGGTGGGTCTGACTTGACAGCACATAACAACAACAACAACATGAAGAAATGTACTCCAACAAATCTGAGAACCTGGAAGAAATGGACAGATTTCTAGAAACACACTACTTATCCAAACTAACCCAGACTGAGGTAGAAAACTTGAAAAAGTCATAACAAAAGAAGAAATTAAACAGGTCATAAAACAATTACCAAGAAAAAAAAGTCCTGGCCCAGATGGTTTCACTGGAGAATTCTACCACTCATTCAGAGAAGACCTGATACCAATCTTACTCAAACTATTCCAGAACACAAAAAATAATGGAATTCTCCTAAATTCATTTTATGAAGCAAGCATAATCCTGAAACCAAAACCAGGCAAAGACATCACTAAAAAGGAAAACTAAAGATCAATATCCCTCATGGATATAGGTGCAAAAATCTCCAACAAAGTCCTAGCCAATAGACTCCAACAACATATCCAAAAAATAATTCATTATGACTAAGTGGGATTTATATCAGATATGTAAGGATGGTTCAACATTAGAAAAACAATCAACATCATCCATTACATAAATAAAACAAAGGAAAAGAACATGATCATATAAATCTATGCAGAAAAGGTATTTGACAAAATCCAACACCCATTCCTGATTTAAAAAAAAAAAAAAAACTTTCAGAAAAATAGGAATAGAAGGAAAATTCCTCAATATAATAAAGGGGATATATGCAAAACTAGCAGCTAACATTATTCTCAATGGAGAGAGACTGAAACTATTCCCCTTGCAAACAGGAACCAGACAAGGATGGCCTCTATCTCCATTTCTACTTAACATTGTATTGGAAGTCCTATTGTTGTTGTTGTTGTTATGTGCCATCGAGTCGGCCCCGACTCATAGTCCTAGGCAGGGCAATAAGGCAAGAAAGGGAAATCAAAGGCATCCAAATCAGTAAGAAGTATAACAATCCCTATTTACAAATGACATGATCCTAAATACAGAAAACCCAAGAGACTCAGCAAGAAAATGATTGGAACTTATTGAAAGATTTAGCATAGTGGCAGGATACAAGATCAACATACAAAAAGCAGTTGGATTCCTCTACACCAGCAAAAAGGTGTCTGAAAAGAAAATAAAGAAATCAATACCATTTAAAGTAGCTATCAAAAGGATAAGATGTCTAGGACTAAATCTTACCAGGAACACAAAAGAGCTATACCAAGAAAACTATAAAACACTAAGACAAGAAACTACAAGGGATCTACTTAAATGGGAGAACAAACCATGCTTATGGATGGAAATACTGAATATTGTAAAAATATCAATACTACCCAAAGTAATCTATACATTCAATACTATCCCAGTCCAGATCCCATCAACATTCCTTAAAGTCATGGAAAAATCAAACACTAATTTTATATGGAAAGGAAAGAGACCTCAGATAAATAAAGCACTACTGAAGAAGATCAAAGTAGGAGATCTCACTCTCCCAGATCTCAAAACCTACTAAACAGCCACACTTGTCAAAACAGCCTGGTATTGGAACAACAACAGACACATAGACCAATGGAGCAGAACTAAGAACCCAGAAATCAATCCATTGACCTATAGTCAGCTGATACTTGAAAAATCAATCCATTGACCTGTAGTCAGCTGATGCTTAAATCCATTAAATGGGGAAGAGATAATCTCTTTAACAAATGGTGACAGCAAAACTGGATATCCACTTACAGAAAAATGAAACAAGATCCGTACCTCACACCATACACAAAAACTAATTCCAGACGTATCAAAGACTTAAAGGTGAAACATAAAACTAAAAAGTTCATCAAAGAAAATATAGGAGCAAACTTAGGGACTCTAATTTATGGCATCAATAGACTATCAAGCATAACCCAAGACACACAAACCACAGAACATAAACTAGATGATTGGGACCTTCTAAAAATTAAATTCTTATGTGCCTCAAAAAACTACTTCAAAAGAGTAAAAGGAGAACTACAGAAAGGGGAAAAATATTTGGCAATGACATATCAGACAAAAGACTTATCTCTAAAATTTATAGAACACTCCAAAACCTCAACAAGAAAAAGACAAACAATCCAATTAAAAAATGGGCAGAAGACATGAACAGACACTTCACCAAAGAAGATATTCAGGCAACCAACAAACACATGAAGAAATGTTCATGATCACTGGCCATTAGAAAGATGCAAATTAAAACAATAATGACATACAATCTCACCCCAGCATTAATAGCAAAGTTCAACAAGACAGAAAATAACAAATGCTTGTGAAGATGTGGAGAGATTGGGACTCTCGTACACTGCTGGTGGGACTGTAAAAGGATACAACCACTGTGGAAATTGGTATGGCGATTCCTTAAAAAGTTGGAAATACAAATACCATTTGATCCAGCAATCCTTTTACTAGTTATATATCCTAAAGAAGAGAGAGGCAGGAAACGAACAGATATATGCACACCCATGTTCAATGCAGCTCTATTCACAACAGCAAAGAGATAGAAACAACCTAAGTGCCCATGAAATGAGGAATGGATAAACAAACTGTAGTACATGCACACAACAGGATACTATGCAACCCTAAAAAATAATGTAGAATCTTTGAAACATCGCATAAAGTGGATGAACTTGGAGGACATTATGCTGAGTGAAATAAGTCTATCAAAGAAGGACAACTATTGTATTAGTCTACTATTGTAAAAAGTCAAGGAAAGGTTTACACATGGAAGAAAACGTTCTCTGTTGGTTACCAGGGATGAGAGAGGAGGGGAGCCTAAATTCCTAGATAGGCTGGAGAAAAAAATGCATATATATATATGTTGTTATTGTTATGTGTCATCAAGCCAAACCTGACTCATAGTGACGCCTCCTTGGGTTTCCAGGCAGTATCACTACAGAAGTAGATTGCCCAACCTTCCTTCTGAGAAGTGGCTCATGGGTTTGAACCACCAGCCTTCTGGTTAGCAGTCAAGTGCCTTAGGCACTATGCTACCAGAGCTCGCTCTCTCTATACACGCTCCATATATCATATATATATATGTGTGTGTGTGTG